TGAACACTGGCCCACCCAATCAGGCTGGCTTAAAATATATTTTAAAAAAGGTATGAAATTAAATAAATGAATTAGATTTATTGTTTGTATTGTCTCCTGACTAATCAGACATTTCGAAAAATGCAGTAAGAGGTTCCCGGGATCTAATTGGTGTTTCCAATCCTTATATACGTCTATATCCATCTGACTGAGCTACAAACCCGGTTCCAGGAGGATCAATATGGAATAATGAGAGCAGCAGCGGCCTGTCTGCCAGGGTCTAGGACCTTTACACCGAAATAATCACTGCTGGACCCATGTGATCACTATCATATCTCTGATGAGAATACTGAATTAACCGTGTTTATTCAGCAACTGTGTCGGAAAGTGGGGGGTGGTCAGGAATTCCCTTTCTGTGACTTCATGTAGCATTGAGAGACTCTTCTCCACTGCAGGCCGTATCAAAACTCTTCTCCACTTCAGGCCGTATCAAAACTATTCTCCACTACAGGCCGTATCAAAACTGTTCTCCTCTACAGGCCGTATCAAAACATACATCAGATCGTGCATCTTGACTGCACCTCTCAACAATCTAGCCCTGTTGTCCTTTGAAAGGGAACTCAGTGGCTCTTTTGACTATGACGCAATAATCTCCATATTCAACACCAATCCTAGTCGTCTACGCCGTGTGCTGTAAAACGTGAAACACACAAGAAAAGTTACGCCTGAATACTGTTCATTTAGGATTTAGCCTAATGTTTTTATGTCTGCCCTGGTAGTGTGATGAGGTGATGTTGAAGGAGTCAGGCGCAGGAGGGTAAATCAGACAATAACAGGCTTTATTCCGCAAACCACAAAGTACACAGTAACGCGTCAAAACACTCCAGTGCGCAAAACAGGCGCACTGGAAAATACAAGGCACCAGGATGGTCGAGTTACCTTGAGAGAGGGAAAGATCAGTAAGGAAGTCAATACACAAGTGCGACCATGGCCGTTGTGGAACTGGTAAGGGCTGTAACTTACCTGCTGGGAGGTGCCTAGGTGCCTTACTCTGGGCGCACACCGAGTAGGAGGAGACATACACCCTCACGTCCTTAGCCAAGGTAGGCCACCAGTACTTACCGGTCAGGCAGCGCACTGTATGACCGATACCTGGGTGACCAGAGGAGGGGGACGTGTGTGCCCAACAGATCAGACGGTCACGGACAAGCGACGGCACGTACTGCAGCCCAGCTGGACACTGAGGTGGAGATGGCTCTGTGCGTAACGCCCGCTCTATGTCCGCGTCCATCGCCCACACTACCGGCGCCACAATGCAGGATGCCGGGAGTATGGGGGTGTTGTCTATGGGCCTCTCTTCTGTGTCGCACAGCTGGTCTGCTGAGGCCCTGTCAGCCTCAGCAGACCAGCGAAGCCGGGACGGCCCACCCTTCAACAGAGATGTGATGGGAGTTGCGCCCTTGCCAAAGCCCCGGATAAACCTCCGATAGTAGTTGGCAAAGCCAATAAAGCGCTGCACCTCCTTTAACGTGGTTGGAGTCAGCCAATTATGCACAGCTGAAATGCGCTGATCTCCACACCTGAGGTGGTGATGTGGTATCCAAGGAAGGAGACAGACTGTTGGAAAAACATACACTTTTCTGCCTTGGCATAAAGGTCAAGTTCCAACAGTCGGGCCAGCCCTTTGCGAACCAGGGACACATGCTCGGCGCGCGTAGCGGAATACACCAGAATGTCATCGATGTAGACCACTACATGCATGTCCCGAAACACCTTGTTCAAAAAGGACTGGAAGACGGATGGAGCATTCATCAAACCGTAAGGCATCACCAGGTATTCGTAATGCCCCGTGGTTGGGCTGAATGCTGTCTTCCACTCTCGTCCCCCTCTCGGACACGCACCAGGTTGTACGCACTCCGGAGATCTAATTTTGTGAAGAAGCGCACCCCATGCATTGGCTCAATCACAGATGGAATGAGGGGTAGAGGATAACTATAACGTATTGTCCCCTTGTTCAGTGCTCGGTAATCAATGCAAGGGCACAGACCTCCGTCTTTCTTCTTCACAAAAAAGAAACTAGAGGAGGCGGGCTAGGTGGAGGGACGTATGAACCCCTGGCGCAGGGACTCGGAGACGTATGTCTCCATAGCCTCCGTTTCAGCCTGCGACAGGGGATACGCATGACTCCTGGGAGGCACAGCGTCTACCCGGAGGTTTATCGCACAATACCCCGCCCGATGAGGTGGTAATTTGGTCGCCTGCGTTTTGGAAAACACGTGCGCCAAATCGAGGCATTCTGGGGGAATGCGCACGGTGGAGGTAGTGTCTGGACTTTCCACCGTGGTTGCACCAATGGAAAGACCTAGACACCTATACTGACACTCTCGCGACCACCCCGTGAGAACCCTCTGTGGCCATGAAAAGATGGGGTTGAGTAGTGCTAACCAGGGAAGACCTAACACAACAGGGAAATCAGGAGACTCAATAATAAAAAAAGTGACTTGCTCTCAATGAGTATCGTACGTAACCATAGTGACTGGTGCTGTAACTTCCCTAACGAACCCGGATCCTAATGGTCGACTGTCAAGTGCTCTGATGGGTAGTGGAATGGATAGGGGAACCAAAGGTAATGCCTAGACTATGTGCAAATGACCTGGGGGGGGGGGGGGGGGGGGTGGAAGGGGCGTCCTCTAGCAGCCTGCAGGTTGTCCAACCGGATGGCAATTTACACCAGTTGATTGAAAGACAACATGGTGTCCCGGCAGGCTAGCTCCCTTAGGACGTCCTCTCGTAGATGGCACCGGAAGTGGTCGATGAGGGCCCGCTCTTTCCACCCAGAACCAGCCACTGGGCGAAGTCCTTGTCACCTGCCTCAGATGGACCAGCCGCTTGCCCGCCTCTCTACCTTCGGGCAGGTGGTCGAAGACTGCCCGGAAGAGGTGAGCGAACTCCCCGTAGTTGTCCAACGCGGCTCCTCCTTCATTCCAAACCGCATTGGCCCACTCCAGGGCTTTCCCCGAGAAACAGGAGACGAGGGCGGACACCTTCTCCCACTCCGATGGAGCCGGGCTGACGGTTGTGAAGTAGAGGTCCAGCTGCGGGAGGAATCCCTGGCAGCGGGCAGCTGTCCCATCATACTCCCTTGGTCGTGATAGTTGAATCCCTCTGGGTGCTGGGGTGTGGGTGGCTGGATCCGGTCGCAAATTAGGCGCACTGGAAAATACAAGGCACACGGGTGAAATATCCCGGCGATACAAAATGGTTAGAAGGCCGGTGACAACGAACGCCGAAGCCTGCCCGAACAAGGAGAGGAGGCAGCCTCGGAGGAAGTCGTGACAGGTAAGCCTATATGTGTTTGATTCAAAGTGAGCTTCTGTATTCAAACCCACCATGATATTAGGCTATATATGATCATTTCATGTTTTCATGCCTATACAGTAACGTTTGCTCATTTAAAGTGAGCTATTAATTTCATACCTGCCGTACAGTTCAAGATATCGGCCTAAAGTGTTTGTATTGTGTGTTGGGATTTTAATATGGCAAAAAGTGTGCACTTTTGGGCTTAATGAAAACACTTTCAGGGCCTTCTATTCTTCCCTGCTTCTTTGTGCAATAAGCTGTTTGCGCATATTCCAATCCAGTGCCGAGCTGATGTCCGGCCAATGCACTGACAATGGTCCTGAATCCACCTGTTGTGCCTGTACTGTAGATCGCTCCTTTAAGTGGGAGTGGCCGATCTTGATCTGATAATATATTATGATTATTTCATGGACTGTCGGACTGAACGCTTCATCCATTATCTGTATTTTGTGACAGTAGAATTTTTCAAATTGTATCACTTGTCTGCTGCTGTAAAATCTATCTTTCTTTCTATCTTTCTTTCTCTCTCTCTGAATATGTAGGTGATAGACATGCTGTGTATTTTGTTATGCTTCTTTACTGTCGGACTCAGACAGTCGGCCTGTTTTGTCAGCAGTGTTATTGTAAGCGTTTGTGTAGTTGCGTACTTGCGCTGCCTACTTTGTTTGTCAAGGGAAATTTTTGGTATTTTTTGGTTACATTTATCCTATGTAATGTTTTAAATTATCCAATGTGATGCACTAATTTTCACTTAAATATGTCAGGTATTTGTTGCTGGAAAATGTTGGCCCGGCCACTTTTTTTCCTTATGCCCAGCCACACAGCTATCCCTGTCTACACTGCTGCCCCAAGCTCTCACTACTTTTTATCCACCTTAATCCACCTGGGATTATTGCTAGTAATTTCAAAATGTATGTAACCACAGCGGCAAAAGCTATTATTGAGCGTGCAGCAATATGTTTGCCAGCAGGGATAACTGTTGAGAATAGCAATAAAAAGTAGATGAGTGAGGCTAACCAAGATATTTATTCAATAGAACAAATATAGAGAGGATGTTTGTCACAGGTTATTTGATGTTTTTTCTGGATTAGCATTGGCTCAACATGACCTAGAATCTACAGTTGCAGAGGTGCACAGTTATACAAAAGCAGAATTAATACAGTTATGTAGGAAACATATACTGTTACATGTCCACAACACATTCATACATTGTTTATATACATACATAGAAAATATTGTGAGCCTTGCGATATGTAATGTGTCATTCATCAATATTGTGGGCCTTGTGATATGTAATGTGTCATTCATCAGGTCCAAAATATTTAAGCATGTATATCTGTGTAGTATGTCCATGTTTTTGTATCAGTATGTGTTTACCTGGGCAAGTGCATCAGTGTGATATCTAGCAGTCTCTGTGAGAGGTAGATGTGTATGTGTGAGTGCGGGTGTGTTCGCCTGTAGGGGGTCTCTGTTTCCTCTTGGGGCAGTGCTGGCCCAGTTTCCAACAGTGGTTGTCGTGTGTGTGTGTATATTTGTGTGTAGTGTGTATGGTGTGTATGGTGTGTATGGTGTGTGTGGTGTGTAGGGTGTGTGTGGTGTGTGTGTTGTGTAGGGTGTGTGTGGTGTGTATGTGGTGAAGCGGTGTTTGTGTGTGTGTGTGTCTAGGTCTTCTTGGGGCAGTGTGGGCCCAGTCTCCAGCAGTGGCAGATGGTGTTAAAGAGGCGACAGCGGCAGGAGGCACAGGGGTCACAGCAGGGGGTGTGATGGGCACAGCTCTCCATCAGACGACCACACCGCCGGGGAGGGGCTGCAGGCTCAGGCTTGGGTTTCTGGAACTTCACCCACAGGGAAAAATATGTTGGAACGCCAAATATCAGTCATTAAGAAAATATTATTTACATACTGAATCACCTAACATCCCCCATAGACAAATACATACTGAATCACAAGACATTACCCATAGACAAATACATACTGAATCACAAGACATTACCCATAGACAAATACATACTGAATCACAAGACATCACCCATAGACAAATACATACTGAATCACAAGACATTATTACTGTGGGACCTGTATTGCGAGACTTTTATTTTGCGGATGCTCTGGCTCTGGTATAAAGAGCAAGGGTTGCTGGGAGTTCTTCAGTTTAGAGCTCGGTGCCTTGCTCTCTCTGCTCATAGGATTTAACTTTTTGTTTTATTTGTCCCCACAAGTGTATTATTGAAGTCACAGTGTCCATTGAAGTCACAGTGTAATATTGAAGTCACAGTGTCCATGAGTGTAATATTGAAGTCCATGTGTGTCCATGGATCCCTTCTTTACTGTCTGCCTTACATTTGGTGTCAGCAGTGGGTGTTGAAGACACACCTCTTGTGTCTCTGCTCATATGATTTTACCTTTTATTTGATTTGTCCCCTAAAGGATGTTATAAACTGGGTGGTTCGAGCCCTGCATGCTGATTGGCTGACAGCCGTGGTTATTTTTGCTGCTCTAATTATGTTGGTAACCAGTTTATAATAGCAATAAGGCACCTCAGGGTTTGTGATACATGGCCAATATACCATGGCTAAGGGCTGTGTCCAGGCACTCTGCGTTGAGTCGTGCTTAAGAACAGCCCTTAGCCGTGGTATATTGGCCATATACCACACCCCCTCAGGCCTTATTGCTTAATTATAAGACACTGATTAAACCTTGTGTCTAAGTTGCAGTGTCCATGGATCCATATGTTTACAGTCAGCCTTCCAATACTTTGACCATAACCTTCCTTTTGTTCTATTTTGGGGCAATTTGTTTTGACAGATTAAACAAATGAAAGACGCCTATTATTTACAGAATTATAGTCACAGCTGAATCACTATTAGGATTTCTGCTATCACACTATTCTCTCGTCTAACACTCACAAGGAAAAACTACTGTAGATGATTGTGAAGCTTGAGCTGACAGCACTTTTGCACTGTTTCGCTATTGCTGCATTCATCAATCTAGCAAGAAGGCAATATTTTGGCCTACTCATTTGAGGTTTAAGGAAGTGTGTAGGTCGCTTTCTTTATCATAGAGCAATGAAAGTTATATACAGTACAGTATTTAGATCTGTGTGGCCGAGAGGAATCCGATGAGTGCTTACGGTCCCTTTACACTAGGAAGCGGCATCGTGCGGTGAAACATCGGAAGCCATTCGCTATCAACGGAAGGAAAGCGAGAAAAGCGTAGTGGGCAGGGGACCGTTGAGCGATGTAAGCATGGGCGAGGGAGTTGAACACGGTCGGACTAATATTGGGGAAAGCTGAAATTTAAAACCTCTGCAATATCGCAATGCGAGTGACCAATCGAGCTCACCATAGCATCCAACCCCTACTGGATTGGCTGACAATGGCTGTTGATACGTAGCAATACCTAGCATGCCTGCTAGCTAGCTTGTTAGCACCCACATGAGGGTGAGGCTAACGTGGCTATATGAGTGCCTTCAGAAAGCATTCATACCCCTTGACTTATTCCACATTTTGTTGTGTTACAGCCTGATTTAAAAATGGATTAAATTGATTTTTTTCCTCTCACCCACCTACACACAATACCCCATAATGACAAAGATACAAAATGTTTTTAGACATTTTTGCAAATTGATTGAAAATGAAATACAGAAATATCTAATTTACATAAGTATTCACACCCCTTAGTCAATACATGTTAGAATTGACTTTGGCAGTGATTACAGCTGTGAGTCTTTCTGGTTAAGTCTCTAAGAGCTTTGCACACTTGGATTGTACAATATTTGCCCATTATTCATTTTTAAATTCTTCAAGCTCTGTCAAATTGGTTGTTGATCATTGCTAGACAACCATTTTCCACTCTTGCCATTGATTTTCAAAAAGATTTAAGTCAAAACGGTCACTCGGCTACTTAGGAACATTCACAGTCTTTGGTAAGCAACTCCAGTGTAGATTTGGCCTTGTGTTTTAGGTTATTGTCCTGCTGAAAGGTGAATTCATCTCCCAGTGTCTGGTGGAAAGCAGACCGAACCAGGTTTTCCTCTAGGATTTTGCCTGTGCTTAGCTCCATTCCGTTTATTTGTTATACTGAAACACTCCCCAGCCCTTAACGATTACAAGCATACCCATAACATGATGCAGCCACCACTATGCTTGAAAATATGGAGAGTGTTACTCAGTAATGTGTTGTATTGGATTTGCCCTAAACATAACACTTTGTATTCAGGACAAAATGTTACTTGCTTTGCCACATTTTTTTGCAGTATTACTTTAGTGCCTTGTTGCAAACAGGATGCATGTTTTGGAATATTTTTATTCTGTACAGACTTCCTTCTTTTCACTCTGTCAATTAGGTTAGTATTGTGGAGTAACTACAATGTTGTTGATCCATCCTCGGTTTTCTCCTATCACAGCCATTAAACTCTGTAACTATTTTAAAGTGGCCTCATGGTGAAATCCCTGAACTGTTTCCTTCTTCTCTGTAAACTGAGTTAGGAAGGACACCTGTATCTTTGTAGTGACTGGATGTATTGATACACCATCAAAAGTGTTATTAATACCTTCAGCATGCACAAAGGGATATTCAATTTTTTAACCATCTACCAATAGGTGCCCTTCTTTGCGAAGAATTGGAAAACCTCTTTAATAATAATAAAATATGCCATTTAGCAGACGCTTTTATCCAAAGCGACTTACAGTCATGCGTGCATACATTTTTTGTGTATGGGTGGTCCCGGGGATCGAACCCACTACCTTGGCGTTACAAGCGCCGTGCTCTACCAGCTGAGCTACAGAGGACCCACTCTTTGGTCTTTGTGGTTGAATCTGTGTTTGAAATTCACTGCTCAACTGAGGGACCTTACAGATAATTGCATGTGTGAGGTACAGAGATGAGAGTCATTCATTTTTTATTAATTTGTACAAATTTCGAAAAAACATAATTCCACTTTGACATTATGGGGTATTGTGTGTAGGCCAGTGACAATACATCTACATTTAATCAATTTTAAATTCAGGCTGTAACACAAGAAAATGTGGAAAGTCTAGGGATGTGAATACCTTCTGAAGGCACTGTATAGGGTAAATGTCCTTAAGCCATGTCTGTGTGTGCTGTGAAGGAGGGCAGATGGAGAAGTGGTTTTCTAAGGACCACCCCTTTGAGGGTACACAAAGTCACCTGATATTAAGGGATGTAATGACGCAGCCAACCACGGGATGGAGCCAAAGACACATTTATTCGACAGAGGATCTTTAAAAGCTCCTAAAGATGTTGAGGTTTTGGTATTCTGGGAAATTAATAAGTAATGTAAACACATAATCAGTAATTACTAGTAATTCTAGTGCCCGATTTCAGGCCCTGTAGTCTTAAGAGGTGTAAGGGAATTACTTCATGTTTAAATACGGACAATTATTTCCCAAAATGTCAGATTGATTCGTATCAGGTTTATTAATTCCTACAGTAATTCTTCCACTTTAAAACTTCCATTCCTTGACAGCTGGTCCTCATACAACCTCTTTAAGCATGATTTAGTACATTGTTCCTGCTATAGTTTTAAGGAGATAGATGTACAACTTACTGCAACGTGGTGGTGTCCCTGATGTGGCGAAATCCGTCTCCTGGCAAACAGTCTTCCGGGTTTCCCTTGCCTCCAAACTATAGTTCATAGAAATATAAAAGAAGGATTTAAGATTACATATGAAACGTCATGCCCCCAATGAGGGGTTCACCTTAAGTATACACCTTCAAGGGTTCTAGAACACTTTCCATTTCCACTTTTCAAAAAATGGGCTGTTGTGCAGAAATGCCAGCGACAATTTCTGGTCCCAGTCCGACCCTGGATGAATCCATAATATGAAGTACATTTCTAATTCAGGTGAACTATCCCTTTAAGAACACAACCTTTTACTATAAATGTCTTAATGCCAAATTAGTGTCATCATAGAGAGCTCAGTCTGATGCAGTACTTATACAGCATCAGGTGGTGGAGGCTAACTGAAAAATTTCTACTTTGCAGACCAACCTTGTGATGAATGGTACTTGTTGTACTGCCAGAATGTTGTATTGATGAATGGTACTTGTTGTACTGCCAGAATGTTGTATTGATGAATGGTACTTGTTGTACTGCCAGAATGTTGTATTGATGAATGGTACTTGTTGTATTGCCAGAATGTTGTATTGATGAATGGTACTTGTTGTACAGCCAGAATGTTGTATAGATGAATGGTACTTGTTGTACTGCCAGAATGTTGTATTGATGAATGGTACTTGTTGTACTGCAATAATGTTGTATTGATGAATGGTACTTGTTGTACTGCCAGAATGTTGTATTGATGAATGGTACTTGTTGTATTGCCAGAATGTTGTATAGATGAATGGTACTTGTTGTACTGCCAGAATGTTGTATTGATGAATGGTACTTGTTGTACTGCAAGAATGTTGTATTGATGAATGGTACTTGTTGTATTGCCAGAATGTTGTATTGATGAATGGTACTTGTTGTACTGCCAGAATGTTGTATTGATGAATGGTACTTGTTGTACTGCCAAAATGTTGTATTGATGAATGGTACTTGTTTTACTGCCAGAATGTTGTATGTACAACCACAATTTGTTATTCTTTGTGATAAGAAACAGTACACCACTAATATTATGCATCTTCATATTTCCATTTCACGAGCACTGCCAAAAAGCCCAAAGCACAGAGAACTAGAGATGGCCATCTGGGTTTTGTCATCTTAATTACAAATTAATCGAATAATTGTGTGCACATCTTGCTAAAGTAAACAAACCCTGATTCATAAACTTAATGGCGACTTTGTCCCCTGAAGGCTTTCAAAGCATTAACTGGTTTTAGAGACTTAATCTCTTTTACACAAACGCAGATGCATTAACTCATATGATGGCTTAAAGTCAGTTGATTTCCATTACAGTTTTAGTAATAAAGAGGTTACACAAAGGTATTACATTTCCACAGGTTATGCACATCAATTAAAATTGTATTAGGCGACATGCGTGGGAACTGCATGCGGTCTAACTGGTCGAGTGCCATAATTGTATAGGTCATGAATAATGATAAGTCAATTGTAAGCTTTTGGTAAAAATCTTGTCAACATTATTTTTTACAATGAAATAATGAAAATTGTTCGCCATACTTCCTTAATCCAAATGCAAAATCCACCACACAAACCATAGCCCTATGAAGCAATCTGTCAATAATGGAAAATATGGCATTAATTTGTGTGCAAAAGGTGTGATCTTTTCTCTCAGCAACAGTTTATCAAAACAGAAAATATGCAAAATAGCTTCACCTGAATCATTTTCATGTTGTATATGCGCATCCCTCTTCAGGTCTTCGGCGAAATATAACGGAATAGACACCGAAAGGAGACAAATCCAGAAAAAATGTTTTCCCAACATCTCCACTTCCAATCTTATAACCTGAATTCGGGTTAATAATAATGTTATGGGCTGCAGCACTGTTCAGGTGAGAGCACGCTATTAAATTTGACACGTTGGGATAGACTACTTACAGGTTACTTTCTATCCTCTCTGGGGAAATTTATTTATTTGTTTTATTTTAAACGTCTTAATATGGTAGCCTATCAATATCGCAGCTCAGAAGGTTCTCTCTCTTGTGAATGTGTTGTCATAAAATGGGGGGTTAAGTGTAGCCAAATCTTCCACGCCCACAATCTCTTTCAGACTCTGAAGTAGCCTTCTGTTGACCATCCAATTTGTGTTGAATTATGGTTTCCATCCATACATTCCCCCAACTAAGTCGAACAGTAACAGGCTCTCCCTGATACTATAGCAAAGTGCCACTGTCTGGTAGCAGTTGTATATGTTTAGTTGTAAAGGCCGATGGGATCGTGCAATACAGTGTCATCTTAGATCTACATCTTGATTGATTATGCGCGGTTGCGCTCAGCTGCACTGCGCTCCCCATATTTCTATGGCCCTCCATGAAGAGGTAAAGGGAAATCCTTCAAACTGTTTAATATGTTATTTACTGCCACTGGACGGAACCAACATGCAGGTGTGTTCGAAACGTTGATATGGTATTTGGGCCTGTGGTTGGCCTGAATGCGACGTCAAGAAACCGGATGTTAAGGACATTAAAGTCCCTCTCCCACGCTTATTACTTGCCTAGGGACATGTGGGGTGAATTGGGGCACAGACAGCAGGGAGCCTCCCGAAGTTCTTTCCAAACACCAGAGATTCCTCTCTAGAGGAGCCTATGTACACAATCTGCACAATGTTATTAATTTCCTAAGTCCATGTTAATACAGTTGAAGTCGGAAGTCTACATACACCTTAGCCAAATACATTTAAACTCAGTTTTTCACAATTCCTGACATTTAATCCTAGTAAAAATTCCCTGTCTTAGGTCAGTTAGGATCACCACTTTATTTTAAGAATGTGAAATGTCAGAATAATTGTAGAGAGAATGAATTATTTAAGCTTTATTTCTTTCATCACATTCCCAGTGGGTCAGAAGTTTACATACACTCAATTAGTATTTGGTAGCATTGCCTTTAAATTGTTTAACTTGGGTCAAACATTTCGAGTAGCCTTCCACAAGCTTCCCACAATAAGTTGGGTGAATGTTGGCCCATTCCTCCTGACAGAGCTGGTGTAACTGAGTCAGGTTTGTAGGCCTCCTTGCTCGCACACGCTTTTTCAGTTCTGCCCACAAATGTTCTGATGTTGTGATGGCCACTCCAATACCGTGACTTTGCTGTCCTTAAGCCATTTTGACACAACTTTGGAAGTATGCTTGGGGTCATTGTCCATTTGGAATAACCATTTGCGACCAAGCTTTAACTTCCTGACTGATGTCTTGAGATGTTGCTTCAATATATCCACATAATTTTCCTTCCTCATGATGCCATTTATTTTGTGAAGTGCACCAGTCCCTCCTGCAGCAAAGCACCCCCACAGCATGATGCTGCCACCCCCATGCTTCACGGTTGGGATGGTGTTCTTCGGCTTGCAAGCCTTCCCCTTTTTCCTCCAAACATAACGATGGCCATTATTGCCAAACAGTTATATTTTTGTTTCATCAGACCATCTTTGTCCCCATGTGCAGTTGCAAACCATAGTCCGGCTTTTTTATGGTGGTTTTGGAGCAGTGGCTTCTTCCTTGCTGAGTGGCCTTTCAGGTTATGTCGATACAGGACTTGTTTTACTGTGAATATAGATACTTTTGTACCTGTTTCCTCCAGCATCTTCACACGGTCCTGCTGTTGTTCTGGGATTGATTTGCACTTTTCGCACCAAAGTACGTTCATCTCTAGGAGACAGAACGCGTCTCCTTCCTGAGCGGTATGATGGCTGCGTGGTCCCATGTTGTTTATACTTGCGTACTATTGTTTGTACAGATGAACGTGGTACCTTCAGGCATTTGGAAATTGCTTCCAAGGATGAACCAGACTTGTGGAAGTCTTGGCTGATTTCTTTTGATTTTCCCATGATGTCAAGCAAAGAGGCACTGAGTTTGAAGATAGGCCTTGAAATACATCCACAGGTACACCTCCAATTCACTCAAATGATGTCAATTAGCCATTCAGATGCTTCTAAAGCCATGACATCATTTTCTGGAATTTTCCAAGCTGTTTAAAGGCACAGTCAACTTAGTGTATGTAAACTTCTGACCCACCGGAATTGTGATACAGTGAATTATAAGTTAAATAATCTGTCTGTAAACAATTGTTGGAAAATGTACTTGTGTCATGCACAAAGTAGATGTCCTAACCGACTTGCCAAAACTATAGTTTGTTAACAAGAAATGTGTGGAGTGGTTGAAAAACGAGTTTTAATGACACCAACCTAAGTGTATGTAAACTTCCGACTTCAACTGAATTAACAGTGGGGAGCAGTGGAGGCTCCTCAGAGGAGGAAGGGGAGGACCATCTGACTCAGTGAATTTCAGAAAAATGTAAATAGTGAAACATTAAAGTTATCCTTTTTAGATAAAACTATACTAAATATATTCACATGTCACCAAATAACTGATTGAAACAAACAGTTTTGCAATGAAGGTCTACAGTAGCATCAACCAGTGGCGTGTAGCCTATTCATGGATGTCAAGGGAAGCCAGGCTTCCCCAAAAAATGGACAAAAAAAACAAACAAACAACATATTAAATAATGTATCTGTCGTCTCTTTGTGTTTCATAATTTTCCTTCAATTCCTAAGAGGCTGAATGTATCTTGCTGGAGAACGCATCTGAGCGAGCGGAACAGCGCCCCTCTGTCTCTCTACGTGTATGCCATCTATCTGATGCTGTCTGGTCCAAACGAGTATGACATTTTTGCTGCCCGTAGCATTGAATGGAATGCAAGGGAAGCCAGCAAGCATTTGGCTTCCATTGATAAAAAAAGTATAAAAAAATAGCCAATCAGCTTCACAGACCATCAACTGTGAATGGTCCTGGCGCACCAAAAAAAAGTGTGAAGGGAAGCCAGCTTGGATTTTGGCGTCACTCCTATCAAATCGCATTGAGAGCATACGTAATTGACAGAATCAACTTGAATTGTTGCATCTCGTGTTGTTATCCACCGGTGGCTAGCTAGCTAGCTAAAATTGGCCCTTTCCTAAATTAGCCATGGGATGGAGATAGGGATTTGGATTTGTGGTTTTACTTAATTCTCCATATTAGACTAAGCAGAGGTGATTTGATAATGTTGAAATGTTGAAGTTGAAATTGTGCTGGAACAGTGGAGGGAGCTCCTGTTTTCTTTGGGAATTGCGTTAACTCTCTGTGGTACTAAATCAATAGTTGTTTAGTGGTCCGAAAATGTCGGAAACATTCTTGCTTGACCATGCTGTAGGTCATGTAACTGTCTGTTACATACAATATGCTTTGTGGAATAAACCGCTATCTGGTTTTGTGATAACATAAAGGTTTGGTTGAACTTATTCTGCCACTGGGTCGTCTTATTGTGTTGGCCTTTAGGCCTATATATCACGGTTGCAAGGCATATGAATTAACAGGTTATAGAGCAAACAACACTATTATCACAACACATACAGTGCTTTCGGAAAGTATTCAGACCCCTTGACTTTTCCACATTTTGTTACGTTACAGCCTTATTCTAAAATGTATTAAATCATTTTTTCCCCTCATCAATCTACATGCAATACCCCATAATGACAAAGCAAAAACAGGTTTAGAATATTTTGCTAATTAATTAAAAATAAAAAGCAGAAATATTACAAATACATAAGCATTCAGACCCTTTACTCAGTACTTTGTTGAAGCACCTTTGGCAGCGATTACAGCATCAAGTCTTCTTGGGTATTACACTACAAGCTTGGCACACCTGTATTTGGGGAGTTTCTCCCATTCTTCTCTGCAGATCCTCTCAAGCTCTGTCAGGTTGGATGGGGAGCGTTGCTGCACAGCTATTTTCAGGTCTCTCCAGAGATGTTCAATCGGGTTCAAGTCTGGGCTCTGGCTGGGCCACTCAAGGACATTCAGAGACTTGTCCCGAAGCCACTCCTGTGTTGTCTTGGCTGTGTGCATAGTGTCGTTGTCCTGTTGGAAGGTGAACCTTCGCCCCAGTCTGAGGTCCTGAGCGCTCTGCAGCAGGTTTTCATCAAGGATCTTTCTGTACTTTGCTCCGTTCATTTTTGCCTCAATTCTGACTAGTCTCCCAGTCCCTGCCACTGAAAAACATCCCCACATCATGATGCTGCCACCACCATGCTTCACAGTAGGGATGTTGCCAGGTTTCCTCCAGATGTGACGCTTGGCATTCAGGCCAAAGAGTTCAATCTTGGTTTCATCAGACCAGAGAATCTTGTTTCTCATGGTCTGAGAGCCTTTTATTGAGGAGTGGCTTCCGTCTGGCCACTCTACCATAAAGACCTGATTGGTGGAGTGCTGCAGTGATGGTTGTCGTTCTGGAAGGTTCTCCCATCTCCACAGAGGAACTCTAGAGCTCTGTCAGAGTGACCATTGGGTTCTTTGTCACCTCCCTGACCAAGGCCTTTCTCCCCCGATTGCTCAGTTTGGCCGGGTGGCCAGTTCTAGGAAGAGTCTTAGTGGTTCCAAACTTCTTCCATTTAAGGATTATGGAGGCCACTGTGTTCTTGGGGACCTTCAATGCTGCAGAAATGTTTTGGTACCCTTCCCCAGATCTGTGTCTCAACACAATCTATGGACAATTCCTTCAACCTCATGGCTTGGTTTTTGCTCTGACATGCACCTTATATAGACCTTTACAAATCATGTCCAATCACTTGAATTTACCACAGGTGGACTCCAATGAAGTTGTAGAAACATCTCAAGGCTGATCAATGGAAACAGGATGCACCTGAGTTCAATTTCGAGTCTCATAGGAAAGGGTCTGAATACTTATGTACATAAGGTATTTCTGTTTTTTATGTGTAATACATTTGCTAACATTTCT